GTCTTTCCATCAAGATCTTCTACTGGATTCCGGGAAGAGACTGGTCTCCAGTTCAAATCTCAAAAATGCGTTAGAGTGCCGTAGTTCATTCTAATTCCCTTCTCATCTATTTCTCATGGCAGATCTTGGATGTTTAGGACTCTAAGATCTTTCTGTTGCCAATATAACATAACTATGGAGCAGAGCAGGCCCACCCCATGGTTTCAAAATGACTCAAGTTTTGGTAATCTTCATGTACCGTGACTGTGGCTTCTGCTTGAGTAAGCGGCCCCTGCCCGGCAGTCACGATTTCCCGTGGGAGGCATATTTAAAACTAAGTGAATGTGCTTTGGTTTCGCTGTTATCATTTTCCAGTAGAAGGAAGCCAGGGGTCAGGAACCACAAGCTGAATGCAAATTGCTTGACACTGGGTATCTCTGGGAGCATCTCAATATTGGCGCAAAGAAGGAAGAAAAACAGCATCTTCTCTCCAGGGCTTAGAGGCTTTTACACTCATGTTGCTGACTGTCAGATAAAATCATGGCTGGCTTCATAAGCATTAGTCACACGAAGGGAGATCAGAACAAAATACTTTGTACCACAAAGTACACAACCAAGAGCCACAGGGCCGGGGTTTTGGTACAGAGTCCGTCTGTGTTTTCAGTTATTTCTACAAGCCCGGCTTTGATGCTACCTTGACAACATTAATCTTTGTACCTATAGTTTAAGACAAAGAAAGATCTTAGCCAGATACTCAAGACCGCTGAAAGCTTTAGAAAAATATAGATGAAGAGTTTATATTTATGCTACAAAATAGAAACGAAAAACCAGGCACTTCCCTCGTATGGGAAAGGCAGGCAGCGGGCAGTGGGGCCCAGCGCAGCAGGGTGGCGAGGCGGCCACCGTCCGTGCGGGGGAAACAGCGGCACAGCGGAGGCTGGCTCTGAGGAGGACGCGGGACTCCCGGGAGTCGCGGGTGGGCGGAGAGGTTGGGGAAGGACACGGCGAGGTCAGAGCGAAGGGCGCGCGGGGGAGCCGGGCTGCCCGGGGCTGGCGAGGGCGCGCGTCCCGGCTCAGCGTCGCCTCACCGGGTGCACGGGGACCTCCCGGCCAGGAGAGGGCAGTGTGGGGCAGGAGCCACGCCAGCCCCGGGGAGCGGACACTCCCGGCCCCACGCCCGCTGGGCCGCCGCCCGGCAGCTGCACCCCCTGGCCGGGTTTAGCGACGCCGCGTGGCCTGGGAGAAGGGAAGCCTGAGGCTGTGCCAGGGTAAAGGCGCCCGCGCGCTCTGTCCGATGAGAGGCCGGGTCCTCCCGTCGGAGCTGGAGGCCCGGCTGCGGTGAAGACCTGGAGCAGCCTTTCACTTTGCGCTTCCCGGAGGCAGTGACGGGGGCAGCGTTCAGGCTCGGGGCGCCCGGGCCGGTGGGCAGCGCGACCCCCACTCGGTACCGCGGAGCCGGTTGCCTGCGCGCACGCGTCTCCCCACCCCGACCCGGCTCCACCTCCTCTTCTCCCTAAGCGAGCACAGGACGCCCAGCCTGCTCCCCCTGCGGGGCTCTCGGCTCCCGGAGCTCGCTGGTCTCCCTCTGCTTGGTTTGCAGCCGCCAGCGCCGGGCCCGGTGGCGTGTCCCTTCTGGGTCCCTGGTCTGCACGGCTCTTGCAGTTAGCTCTGATGCTGTCCACGCAGCCTCGCTATTGCTTCATTGCTCTCCTTTCCCCACTCTCTAAAAAGCAATGGGAAAAAATGTCCTTAGGTAGGATTAAAAAAAAAGTCTTACTGAGGGCCAAAGGCTTACCGAGGCAGTACCGGGAGCCTCCCGGCGTTCTGAGAGGCACCCACTGCGTCCCGAACTCCAGGACGTGCCATTCCACCTAACCTGCTATATACATAAGAAGAGCTGCCTCAACATTTCAGCTTGGCGAGTTTAGAAAAACAAAACACCATTTCCTCAAATAAGAGAGTTTTCTACAGTGGGAAAGGTGACTAATCCATGCTACTCTCAAAGCACTAGGACTCGTAGCAAAATTTTTAAAAAGAAGAAAGATGCAGCCCTCCCACTTCTGGGTATGTCTCCAAAAGAGCTGAAAGCAGGGTCACAAAGATCCATTTGCACACCCGTGTTTGTAGTAGCAGCATTCACAAAAGCCGAGAGGTAGAAACCAGATGTCCACGAATGGGTGGATGGGCAAACAAAATGCAGTCAGCGCAGCAATGGAATATTACTCAGCCTTCAAAAGGAAGGAAATCCTGTCACCTGTACAACATGGGTGAACCTGAAGGGCACTATGCTCAGTAAAATAAGCCAGTCACAAAAGACAAATGCGGTATAGTTCCACTGATATGAGATCGCCAAACTCAGAGAAGTAGCCAAACTCACAGAAGCAGAAGGTGGAACGGTGGTGCCGGGAGCTGGGGCGGGGAGAAAGGGAACTTGTTCGCTGGGTGCAGCATTTCAGATCTGCAGGATGAAAAAGTTCTGGAGACCTATTTCACAACAATGTGAGTATACTTAACACCATCAAACTGTACATTTTAAAATGGTTAGATGACACATTTTATGCTATGTGTTTTACCACTATTATAAAAGAAAAACACCTCCTAATTTCACATTCTAGAAATAGACTTTACAGTTTATAATTAGTAGCACCACGACAGCAAATCTGGTATCTGTCCACCAGCACCTCCACCCACCTTAGGGTCTCCAGCTTCCCTGCTGGCTCTCAGCCCTTTGAACATGAAGGTGCTCACAGTGCCCCGCCTCCCAAAAATAACGCCCTCCACCTGCTGTCTCTCTCTGCCCGGTGCCTCCCCTCTGCACCGCCAAGTCACCTGTCCCCTGTGCCCTACTTTCCCACACCTGTCCATTCCTCAGCCCGCTGAACTCTGTACCATCATTTCACCAAATCTCCTCCTGCAGAAGTCATTGATGAACTCTGTTTTTTCCATCTTTAATTGACCTCACCTCTGTGACATCCCATGGTTGGTTACTGCCTCCTTCTTGTGATCCTCTCCTCCCTTGGCAGCCAAGAGGCTCCTCTCCTGCTTTCCCTGCTCTCGGGCTTCTCCTTCCAGTCTCCGTGGGCTCTTCTTCTACCTTCCCTTAAATGCTGGTGTTCCCCAGGGTTCTGTTCACCCTCTTTTCTCTCTAAGGCAGTAGGTACTGCTGATATGCTGAGGACTCCCAAACCTACATCCCTAGCCGGATTTTTCTCCTATTAATCCAACAGATTATTGGATGTCTCCCCAGAGCGTCTCACTAGTTTCTCAGTCCCAGGATCTCCACAGCCAAGCTGATCATTTTGCCCACCCACCCCGACTGGCTTCTTGGATTTCCTACCTGAGGGAATGGCCCTATAATTCACCCACTGTCCAAGCAAGAGACCTGGGACTCACCAACCTCCTCCCACCCACCAAAGAGCCCACCACCAGGTCTCCCTACGTCCTGTCTTGACTCTTCATGTCGACCTCCTGTGCTATTTACAAGTGACCTTTCTTCCCCTATGGCTTCAGAAGAGGTCCAAACTAAACGCTAACTGTACACCTAACCTAACATCCTTAATAGCGCAGCTCCAATTTCATCTCGCATGCGCATCTTCCAATCTCCTGCACACCAAACACACTGAACAACTTTCACCTCCAAGATCGCTCCATGTTTCATGACACGTCTGTGGGTTTTGTGCTTGCTGGTTCCCTGCTGAAATGCCCTGTGCCCTGCCACCCACTTAGTAAATGGCTGGTCTCTGACAGGTGCTACCTGTTCTGGGAAGCCCTTTCTCCATATGACAGCCTTTCATCCCCCAGTAAGCAACGCGCCAGGCTGAGTTAGCTGCCCCTCTTAGGTGTGTCCACAGTCCCCCAAATGTGCCCACTGGAAATGTGGCTGCTGACTGACTTGCAGGTCTCCCTCACTGAACTGTGACCTCTGCTAGGGACTGATTCGCCTTGCAGCTCCAGTTCCGACACATGATCCAGTAATACTACGTAAATGTTTCATGAATGAGGGAACAGTGACAAAGAGTCTCGGTAGCAGCCTCGTCTCTTGGGGGGCAAGACTGCATGCCTAGCAGGCAGAATCACAGGCAACATTAAATGTTTGTATGTATATGCACACATGTAGTGGTGAAGCACCTTTAAATAGAGATCACTGTGTGTGTGTGTGTGTGTGTGTGTGTGTGTGTGTGTGTGTGTGGAAGCAAATAGAGGATATGGAACATTATTAATTTTCTTTACCTTTTTTTCCTCTCTGCCTATAATCCCTGCGTCTTTTTCCATTGTGATTCCTTGCACTCAGACAACTTTATTCTGCTCTTTCACAGCTGTACCTCCTGCACAACATAAGATTTCTCAATATTGTCACTCAGCATTCAGGGCAATATTCTCATGACAAGCATTTTGAATAGGTAAGAATGCTAAAGACCAGAGGATAATTGCCACACTACCGATTTCTGCTCAGTCTCTCCAGATTCAATTATCTCACCTCCTTTAGTTCTTCTACAAATGGCAATGAGCTGGATCAGCACATTTACATTTTTACACTAAGTTATCATCATCTCAGATGAGATCTGCAGTTGGCACTCATTAGGAATTGATTACTCATGTTCATTCTCAGACCTCTCTTCCACATTCAGATAGCCAGAGTGCTTCACGCTCTTCTAAACGGGAGCTCTCATCACACTGCTACTCATTTGCCATTTGTGGCCGTGCTGCTCCCTCCCAAGACTATGTACCAAGCCTGGGGTCATTCTAGTCATTTTTCATTTTGTCAGCTTAATTAACTGGAAGGTAACCAAGGTCTTATTGCAGAAAATTAACAACAATCCATGGATAATGTTAAAATGTTTTAAGAATAGTTTTAAAATAATTAGTAATTTGTCATTCCACAAATTTACCAAATAAATTTGTTTTAAATTGTTATGATCATCTTTTAAAAAAACAAAATATCTTGAAATAGTTGTCATGAGGCCTTAATTAGCATATGTAAGAATTATAAGATAAAATGTGAAAATAACAAGGACAAGCAATTTTCTAAATTATCCTTTCAATTAGGAATTAAGTCTTTAGAGTGTTTAATTTTCATCTATCACCATCATCGTTATATAGTCCTTGTAATGAATGGAATTCGATTCTGGATCAATTGCAGCAGACAACATCTCTTCCATTTCCTCCTGAGAAAAAGGCTCACCTGGCAGGGACAAGAAGGGAAATTCATCATTTACAATCTTCCGATGCTTTTCTTTCTACGTCCACTAGCTGGCTTAATTGCCATGGGACCCCATGAGCCCCCACTGTGTCATCAGTTACTCTCCCTGGGGCCATAGAGCTAGCACATCATGACAGTCCAGGGGTTCAAACAGCATGCTTGGCACCCCTGGCAGATTGGGACTTATGTTACCTTGCAGATGTCATAGCCCAAGCAACCTATAGAATCGATCATTCCAGCCAAAACAGCCAAGGGCATCAAGAAATCATGAATAAGGTTGTTTATTTAAATTAAAACTATTGAAATTGCTAAAGGATTAACCTGAAGTCCCAGGTTTATAGGGCATCTAATCAATATAGTTAGTAAGGGGATGAGGAGAGGATTCAATGGCTGCTATGCAAAACTGCTGAAGAGCAGATAACAGAGACTTGAAACTGTAATGATTATATCTCTGAACATTCCCTAACCAGGTATGGCCAACGTAGTGATGGCAGCTTAACCCAGAGGCAGATGCCATCCATCAACCACTCAAAGCAGTCCTTGCTCTGTGTTACAGTTTGGACCAGTGTTGCTGTCAAGTGAAACCAGAAGGTGGATAGAAATATCTGTGGGTTTTAGCCAAATTCAGATAACAGCCGAGGGCCATCTTGGATACTGGTTTTACCAAGATGAGAAGCAAACTCAGGAAGAATGTTGGATTGTTTTATAAGTTAGTTTTCTATCCCCAAATAAGATTTTAATATCCTTGGGAAAGGGAACAGATTTTAGTATCATCACCTCACACCATACTAATGACATTGAACTGTTTCGGCCACTTGGACTACATTTATATTGCCTAATATAATCTAGCATTTACTTCCCTTAAATTAATCCTTAAGATTAAGAGGCTGGTGCTTTGAAAGTCATAACATTTCCATCAAAGTTAATCCCTAAGATAATTTTAACAACGTCACAGAGCTCTTGGGTGGCAGCTGTGTCAGGTCATTCTTACTCTCTTTCCCTGTATTCTCACCTAACGCTGGCTCAAGTCAAAATGGTCAAACCAATTGTGCATGTAGACGCAGCCTAGTCTTCTCTACTCAAAATTACTTGCACTTTTCATTCTGTATCATGTGGTTAGAAACTCTGAATCATTCAGGATTCAATCCATGAACAAGTAAATTGAACAAAGGAGACAGAACTCCAATAACTTTGTATGGGAGAAGGGGAGATGACCAATATGAGAATGGACAAGAGAATGCCCATTGTGCTACTGACATTCAGAGAAAACAAAATGACATACCAGCCTAAGTAGAGAGAATTCCTAAAGGAAATATGTTGTCTTATTTGGTGTACAGGTATTTTGTGTGTGTGTGTGTGTGTGTGTGTGTGTGTGTATACAATTCAAGTTCAAAGCAAATATCTATGGTTCCATGAGCATAAAAAACTGAAATTTTTTTTTAATATATATATTTTTATTGATTTCAGAGAGAGGAAGGGAGAGAGAGATAGAAACATGAGAGAGTCATGACTGGCTGCCTCCTGCACTACCCTCACTGGGGATTGAGCCCACAATCCAGACATGTGCCCTGACTGGGAATCGAACCAGCTACCTCTTGGTGCATAGGACAATGCTCAACCACTGAGCCACACCAGCTGGGCAAAAACTGAAAATTTTTCATAGTTCATGTTTCCAGGTGGCATACCTTTTATTCTGGAAATACTCTAAGTGAATGAAAATCCTTCAATATATAGAAGTATCATTATACTTCATGAAATCCTAGAAAGGCAAAAATCCATCTGCCTTTAACCCACCCTTTTCCCCTTACCCACTACTAAACCGAAACCATCCCAAACACAAAATAATAGGCATAGTAAATAATTCTTTTTAACTAGAATAATTGATTTTAAAGCATACCCTAAAACTTTTGCATAATTGTTAAATCCCTTAAATAAGTCACTGTTATAAGATACGTAATAACTAACTCTTACCTTCTTCAGTCATATACTTGATCAATTCTTCCTTAGAGAGAAACCCACGTTTAGCTGTATCTAATACCTAGGGGAAAGATAGATATTATGTTTTTCATTTGGTGAATAAATTCTACATGATGAATTTTTCATATAAATATATATAAAATCTGGAGCTTACGTACCTCAAAAGCTCGAAGAAGGATATCTTCTGGAATTGGTCTGTATCTTATGCAAAAAAAGAGGCATAAATGCCACAGTATTTAGCTCAGTCTCTACATAATAAATGATCATAGAAAAATAATACTTCCTTCACTGAACTATTTGGATTTCTAGATGTAGAAGTTGAAAGCACTCTAAAAACCACAGGAAATACTTAGTTCAAAATCGTTGGCATGTTTGATGTTGTCTACTAGTTTTGGGGTTTTTCATCATTATAGAAATCAACTTATCTGGAAACAAAATTTCTACAATAAACCAACCATGGTAAGATAATGCTGTGCTTTCTGTAGAAAAACAATTAGGGTTAATTCCTATTTATCATTGATAATTCAAAATAAAAGATGATAATGTTGTTGACTTGTGCTTTCTGTAGCTTATGTGCCCTTAGGTTACACTTTGTTTATTAGGTTAATACAGAAGTGGTAGATTTTTCTAAGTACATACCAACTGACAGAGCATAGTAAAAAGTTAGAAGGAAGCTATCATGGGGAAAACACTGGGTGATTATAATATATGAAGTGAAAAAGACAAGTGACTTGCAATTGATGTAATTATAATCATTATTTTACCATTGCACTTACTTTCTTACCTTCTTTCCAGTAGTACATTGGTCATCACTGGAAGAAATTTTTCAAATCGAATGTATCCGGTGGGTTCTTCTTCCTCTACCTAAACAGTCAATAAAAAATAGCCATTTATTCATTCAACAAATACACTGAGCAGCTACTTCTTCCAAGCAATGTGCCAAGTGCTGGAGATCTGATAATGAGCATGCTTGGGTATGGGCCCGGTTCACAGTTTATATTCCGGTAGTAGAGACCTGCATTAATCAAAAAACAACTAAGCTGAGTGTCTAATTCTAAGTCTATGTGAGCACAATGAAGTAAGGAGCATGGGTCTATTAGAGAACAGAATAAAGGAGCCCTTCCTAGGCCAGGAGTCAGGAAAGGCATTCATGAGGAAATTACACTTGACTGATGAATAAAGGATGAGTAGAAAGTCATTAGACAAAGACAGCAAGGCAGAGACTCCCGGGCAGAGGCAATTACATGCGTAAGACCCTGTGTGATGTGATGCATTGGAGGCCAGGGGGCTGCAGCACAGGGAGAAAGGAAAATGTTTCTAGATGAGGTGCAGAGACAGGGACCAGACCTTGCAGGGCCTTACTGTCTATGAAAGTGACTTAGGTTGCTATCCTAAGACCAATGAGAAATCACTGAAGATCTCATAGATGTATGTCTGAAAGACACACTGGTTGCAGCTGAGGTGGCTTCTTTAGTAATAACCTAAGGGCTTGGATTAGAGTGGTGGCCATAGAGAGAGAAGATGGTTTCAAGAAATACTTAAGATGTGAAACCAATAGGACCTGGTGTTGCATCTATTATGGGCAAGAGTGAGAGAAAAAGAGAGGAGTCAAGAACATCTCCAGGATTCTAACTGGCATGAATGGGATGGAATGGCATTTTCCCCTGAGATGAGGAACATTGGATAAGAGACCAGGTTAGGGGACCACTCATGATCTCAAGGACCAAAGTACGTATCCAGTCATTGTAAAATAGCTATTAAATACCTAGATGGTCAAGGGAACTTTGCTCTACCACCACTAATTAGGAGAACACACCTGGAAAGGGAATTGCTCTTGCCCAGCACTATTAGATGCAACTGAGAAAGACTCCTGCCCAGGGCTCAGCTGTGACGGTGTGGCTGAACAAAACACCACCCATCTCACCTTGCATGCCAACATATTTACAAGGAGCCGTAAATTTTCCACTGCCTTTCAGAAACCCTATTAAAAGGCTCATAGGTCCCAGCTTAACAGAGGAGCTTTTAACAGATTTATTCTTTGAGCAAAAATAAGAAATCTATAGGTTGCTGCTACATGGAACATACTGTCTTCCAAATGACAAGTATTTTTTTAATGTTTATACCAGATTCTCGTCTATTATGAGTGGAGCCCTCAGATTCCACTATCAGCAGACTATGTCTTCCATCTAATGACAGAACGATGTGTTTCAGAATTTCTGAGCCCATCAATACAAGAACAGTTGTCTTCAGCTGCCTCTAGGTCAAGGTGAGCATTTTGCGAATGAATGCTCACATGGCTCTGATATGCTTGACTGAGTAGATAGAACCTGTAATTCCCAAACCCAGGAGCTTCTTAAAAATAAAATGTCGATCTCAAGAGACTACCTTAGAGGGATAATTTTTAAAGTAAAATGTTGAGTTTCTATTCTGATTACTCAGGTAATTTGCTCCAGAGCAGTCGTTGGCTTCCCTCCGCCCCACCCCCAACAAGCCGCTGTAGTCAACAGCCTCAACAGGGAAAGACCAAAGTCCGGCTTTCCATACATCCTCCTCAAGCTACAGACCTTTCCGTCTTTCCAAAGGGAGTCAGCTCTACAGCACACTCTCCACCACGTGGAAACCCACGAACACACGGTATGCACCTAATGCAGCCCCACCCCACTCAGCTTCCACGCGATTTCCAGGAGCCCTTGGTGCTCTGAACACAGGTGAAAACTGCGGGTCATTCTGGCCTGATAGACCTATATAGAGCCAAAATTGCACAAAAATAATAAGCTAACGCACATCTCCAAACAATCAGGGTACAGCAGAAGAGGTATAAATTTTCTTTGACTTTTTTTTAAAGAGGGACAAAGAATAAACAAAAGCCTTGTGGTTCAAAAGTGAAAAGAAAAGTAAGTTCATCTTCAACTTGGGCAGATTGTGAAAATCTGTCTATGACCCAACACTGTCCTCTAGAGGCCACGTCTTCTCTGCTCTTCGGTACAAAAAGATACATAAGAAATAGAGTAAAAACAATACAATTATATGATGATTCTAAATACAGTAAAACAGATTGTTTTATATATACCAGACACTATTTTATATTATAAGAGGTTTTTAACTATTTGCCTAATCTTTTTCTTTTAGAATAGTTTTAGATTCACAGAAATATTGGGGAGATCCAGGTCTCCCATATGCCTCCCACCCGGTTTCCCCTATTGTTAACCCTTGCATTACTATAGTACGGAAAACTGTAGTTGGCTCATTGTCATAACAATGGACCAATATTGATACAGAATTATTCACTTAAACTCCACACTTTATTTGGATTCCATTAGTTTATCTAAAAGGCATTTTAAAATATAGGATATTCCTCTATCACAAGAGATAACCAAGGAGCAAAATAGACCACCACCCCTGAGAACCTGGGAACAGGTGTGCAGATACGGGGGGAGAGGACATGGTTCTGTTATTTCTGGTGCAGGATGAGCTAGTTAACTTTATGAGGTCATCAGTAAGATAAGACAAGTACACTACTTTCTAGAATTGTTTGTTATCCAATGATGGCTCAATGAGCATTTAAATCCATGTATTACAATGCCTTTAAGATTTAAGGGAAATATATCAAGTATTGAACCGTATATAAACACACATAGTGTGTATATAGTAAGTATATTGAGGTAAAGATAGAGCAGAGTGAGAGTGAGTGTTATGGGTTGAACTGTGTCCTCCCAAAATTCATAGGTTGGAGCCCTAACCCCCAGTATGTCAGAATGTGGCTTCTTTGGAGATAGGGTATTTACAGAGGCAATCAAATTAAAATGAGGTCATTAGGGTAGGCCCTACACCACTATGGCTGGTGTCCTTATAAAAAGGGGAAATTTGCACCACGTGAAGAAGCCAAGGGTAAAGCCCTGGAGCAGATCTTTCCCTCACAGAAGGACCATGCCTGCCAACACCTTGATTTTAGGCTCCTAACCTCCAGAACTGTGGGACACACATACTAACATATGTGTGGCATGTATGAACCCAAGAATTTGACTTGCTATCATCAAGCACAATTCCTTACACTCATCTATTAGCAAAGCAGATATTCAAAATTCTGAACTGATTTTACAGAATTGCTACAGAGAAAATGGTGCAGTTCATAGCTACTTTCTCAGGAGAAAACTCAATTAACCAACTTATAATGAAATGAAATCAAGAAAGATTCCCTAAATTACATCAGGCATGTTTGAAAAGACTAGGAACTCACTGCCATTTCTCCACTTACAGCAAAGCCATGCTGGGAAAACCCACTTCACTTTGATATGGCTCAGAGTCTTCAAAAACTGATGTGGCCTTTCTCATAGAAAAGCATCACAATATATTCACCATGTTAGACCAACGATAGTTTATGGTTATTTCTATCAACAGTGTACAGACCTTTGGCTCTATATTGTGCAATGACACCTCCTCCTGAAAGAATCAACCTGGAGCTAAAATCTCAGCCATATCCTCGCTGACCCACCGCACGGACTGAGCTGTTTGGAGTGAACTCTGGTCTTGCCGCCAACCACACAGTGCAGCACGGACGGGGTGAGGCTGCGTGACATTGCGGGGCACACCTCCCAGCCGTCCCTGCCCCACCCCTGCCTAGCGCGCAGGGTATGTGCGGGAGCAGCGAGGCCGCCACCTCCGCAGTGTCCCTCCCTGCCTCTTGGGAATGATAGCAGAGTCACAGCCACCCACAAACACGTCCCTCCTCTTCGAAAGGCAGCAACAAACGAAACAGATATATCTCGTTACTGTGAACACGAATGAGGCACCGTAAGTTAAAATCGAGCTCGTTTCGCCTAAGAAAAGGGCGAATGTGCTGAGAGGAGGTAATGGTGGGCAAGGAACCTGGACGGCACTTACGAAGGCGAGGGCAGCGACCCTCTCTGCAGGCAGATCCCCCAGCGTGGCCGTCACGTGCCATTTAGAGCCCACTCAGCGTTTGTTCAAAAACATGTCTTTACTGATTTCAGAGAGAGGGATGGAGACGGAGAGAGAGAGAAACATCGATGGCAGAGTCGCCACTGATTGGCTCCCTCCTGCAAGCCCCCAACTGGGGATGGAGCCCACGATCCTGGCCTGTGTCCTGACCCGGAATCGAAGCAGGATCTCCTGGGTCCCAGGTCGATGCTCAACCGCTGAGCCACGCCGGCCGGGCGAGGTCACTTGCTAGCGCGAGCGGATGGCCGCCTGGAGACCAGGCCCCACGCGCGCCCGGCTGCCTCCTCCAGGCGCGCTGGGCAGGCGGCCTCAAAGAGCG